TTCGTATKCYATTTCTGGTTCTTCAAAGGGYGSCTGAGAATYGTCGKTGACATTGATGCCAAACATCTGACCAATTTCGTCAATACTCATCGAATCGTCTGGAAGCTGAGCATCTTGGAAGTGTTCGGGCTGGTTTTCTGGAGWTGAAGATCCCTGCTTATTTATGTTTGGGAACTCGGGGACCTTCGACCTTTTTTCTGTATTTTCCATGAAGTATTGTAAATCTTCGTCGAGACTCATCTGGTAATCAACTGGATAGTAAGTCCAGTTTGGGATGAAGGAGACTGGAAAAGTTTGCCGGGCATTGTTGAGRCGAAAYGCGTGAGYCTGAAAATCTTCGTATGCTCTGTTGTCGTTGATGTTGAAATCAGGACGAACACCGCGATGATAGTCGTTGTGATGGACTAGTGTTGGGAGAGCGTGGATCTTGCCTGATTTAGTGTTGACCTGGACAGGRCGATGGAAAAAATAGATCGTGTGGGGRWTGAAGAAGGGATTAAGACCTCCCTSRCCTTTTARCTTCTTGAARGGTAGGCTTATTGCTTTAGCCGATCTTCGCAACTTTCCGYTCCAGACAGGTAGGGGTGCAAACCATGTTAAGAATGTCGAAAAACACTCTTGGTGACCTTGTTGAGCGTTGATGTACTGATATAACCATTTGATRTCAAAAGCGATTCCGATGGTGTAAACCGAGCAGAKRTACCATAGMAAACAGAGKACTTCTTCAGGCATATGGGCGTTCTCGATTCTGTAGAGATGTGCGAACAGATAGTCAGGATGAATGCCTAGCGGTGAGATTTGATGACTGTTGATTCCGTATCTTGACAGGATGATGGATTGGTAATAGAAAATCTTTTCRTTGAGATGTTCGTGCAAAGTCCTCCTGTCGATAAGCTGATGGGCATCTTCTGGCATGTTGAAGGTGGAGTCGTAGTAACGTTTTACAGAGGAACTTGCAGAAGAGCTCGCCATCATTTGTATCTCCCTTACTGCGCTTCGACTGAGCATATCAGCGAGAGTATTCTTCGTG